TCAGCCCAGCCTGTGCCCTCTCCCAGTTTGGGAGCTTTTGGGGGATGTCTGACTGATGGCTCTTCAGACAGCCTTAGCGCTGCTGCGGAGGGGGGAGAAGCTCCCACCATTGCCTCTGCACTCGCCAGCCACAAGCCGGCTTCTGGCAGAGCAGTCCTCCCGCTGTGGGAGCGCAGTGACCACCAGGGGCAGCTTCTGCATTGAGCATCTGCCCCCTGGTGGTCAGTGTGCATCATAGCGACTGGTCGTTTTTTTGCCTTTCGGTCTATTTGCATATTAGCCTTCTTTTTAAAACATTTTTATTGATTTCAGAGAGGAAGAGAGGAGAGAGAGATAGAAACAATGGAAACATATGATGAGAGAGAATCATTGATCGGCCGCCTCCTGCACGTCCCTCACTGGGGATCCATCATGCAACCCAGGTATGTGCCCTTGACCAGAATCGAACCCAGGACCCTTCAGTCTGCAGCTCTATCCACTGAGCCAAACCAGGTGGGGCTAGCCACTTATTATATAGGATAACTATTACTATTGTGAGAAGCCCAGACTTTCTGCGATGTTTATATTTACCCAAATGACACTTGCCGCATAATGAAGGAAAGAACGTACCCAGTGAGGCGGTTTCGGATAATTTTGACGCTCATCACGGTCTCCCCCATGGTGGCAAAGGCTCTGGAGATGAAGTTCTCATCCATGTAGGGCTCCAGCTGCGTAAATACAAGGGCAGAGCGACTCAGGCCAGCAGGCAGGCTCCGCCTCCGGCTGCAGAGCCCCTGCCCTCAGCTCAGGGTTGGCTACCTGCTGGGGGCGGTGAGGGTGCGGACAGGTTCTCACCGGCAGAGCGGTCTCAACCGCAGCTCCATCCCTTGCCACTAAACTTGCACCCTCGGAGCCTCCCGCTTGGACTTCGGAACCCACCCCTCCAGTCTTAACACCCAAGAGCCTGCCGGGGCCAGTGGCGGGTATCATTCCCCGTCAAGAGTGTGTACTTAGGTTGCAGGTAC